TTTGAAAAGTGGCATATTTTTAGAGGGTGGAATTACGGATGTAAGGTTTGTGACGAATGCGATCACCATTCACATCTGTATTGTAAGACCTGTAAAAAAGTGGCGGATGGAATATATAGGCGATGTGAATGCGCTAATACGTATTCAATAAATAAAAATAAATCAAAGTTAATGATTTGATAATAACAATAACGATAGTTTAAGCAGAAATTTGTCACGTAACAATATTTATTTACAATATAGTAGCGATCGGGGTTGATAATTTTTATAGCATACAATTAAAGCATTCGTAAATAAGTTTTTTAGCAAATAAATGCTATTTGTAAATGCTATTCAATAAAGCTGGCCCTGGTGGCCGATTTCGCATACATAATCGGTTTACTTTTGCACAGGACTTGTTATATTATAAAAATATTGTCTATAGATTAAACTAACATGATTACTCATGCTAGTTAGTTCAAAAATTAAATAAATCATTTTTATTACTAAAATGCAATCTGAATTAGATTTATTAGAAGAGGAAGCCACATTAACTGAGCTTAAGGCTAAGAATGCAGAACTTATGGCCGAGAAAGCTAAACTTGAAACTAAAAATGCAGAATATATAAAGCTTAAGGATGAGACTGCAAAGCTTAAGACCGAGAATACCAAACTTTTAAAACAAATTATAGAGAAATATGCTAAAAATAAGGCTGATATTGTAAAATTAAAAACCGGTTTGCAGTATCCAATCCTCTTTGAGCGTATTAAGGTGACAATTCTTGAGCTTGAAGAAAGGAATGCAATATTAAGACCAATTATAGAGGAATTTGCGAAGAAATCGGAATATAACTATCTTGTAACTGCCTTTGACAAGAAAAATCGCAAATTCCAAGCTAAATGTATTAAAATAGCTGAGGAAATTCTTGATGAGGAACCGATAATTGAGTATCGTCCTCCATTCTTAGATGGATTAGAATTTGATGCTTTCTTTCAAAAATATCGGATTGCATTAGAAGTGCAGGGAAGACAGCACCGGTTTCATAATACTAGTTGGTATAAGGATGTTAAAAAACTCGAAGACATTGTTAATCGTGATCGCCTAAAAAGGTGCCTATGTCAAGATAATGGAATCTTCCTTCTTGAGGTATGGTATGATGAAAACCCAGAAATTGTCATTCCTCAAAGAATACAAAAAATTAAGTGCTTCGTTAATCAAGCATCCCGAATTTTCGATCTCTTATAATCTTATAATACATGTAACTCTATCACTACAACCTAAATCAACCGATTTCTTGATTAAAAAAACATTGAAACTCTACCCTTTAGATGTAACGTTAATTATGATGATGCAACTTGCAACTCGATATATTTTTCTGAAATATTATCGAAAAAATAGCATATCGTGTTCTCTTTTTATTAATATTACGAGGAGTACAAAGATGTATCGCAAAATACAAACGAAAGAATGGTCAAAACAATAGTTTATTAATTTTCTGACGTTCTGTCTATCCAGCGCCTGTTACTGCGCCATGTGTAGCCATGTCCGCTAGGTCACACTTTAATAGAAATGCCGTGACAACAATTCGTGTGATAAAGGATAATTATTTTCCACGTTCACATAGATTCAGTCGCTAACCTTCTTAAAACGGATTAAAGTTCCATATGCGTTTTCTCGTATATAGTAATCGAACCAGCCTGAACAAAGCTTTGACGAGAAAGAACGATTATTGGTTAACAAATTTACCTAATCGCAAACTCAAATGTCTGCAACATCAAACAAGCAATTTAAGTCAAGACACTAGGACCGGAAGTTCTTTTCCTTCAGTCGAAGAAATTAAAGAGTGGGCACCTGCACAAATTGTTAGTTTCTTAGAGTCTAGAAATCTATATCTTACGAATAGTGATATCGAAATGATCAAGAAAAATAGTATCGCCGGTGAAGACTTTCTTCTCTTGAAAGAAAATGATCTCTATCGAATTGGATTACCTATTGGTCCAGCCAGAAGAATAATACAGTTAATTAAGAAAATTTCGAGAACACCTTTAATGGATAGGCTACCTACTAACCTTGTACACGTATTTATTGATAATTCGAATATCTGGATTGAGGGAAAATACACCGTTGGAAACCTCGAGCGGTTAGGTACCTTCGACTTTGACAGAAATTCCTATTACTTTAAACAGCTCCAGATCGATCATGGTAGACTTCTCACCACAGTTCAATGCGAACGCAAACTAGGTGGTGCACCATTCTTGGTCGGTTCCCGACCGCCTCCTAATGATTCATTGTGGGCCCGCATTAGGGATCAAGGTTTTGAGGTGAATATATTTGATCGGGACGTCAGAAGCCACCGTGAAAAGGAAGTCGACACAGAACTTGTAATATCAGCAACAGAAACAATTACGTCCAATGATCCTGGTGTTTTAGTTCTGATTGCCGATGATAGGGATTATAGACCTCTAGTAAAACGAGCACTGAAACACAATTGGACTGTGGAGACATGGTTTTGGAATTCAGGTATGAAAATGTCATGTTCGAAACTATATGAATTATCTTTAGATTGCTTAATTCGAAATACCCTGTCTTCATAGGAGTTTCCAGTTTCCTTAAGTCAGATACGAATTTTCGATCTTTGGACAATTGTTATCGTTCCTTCTCATATGGATTAGGTCCTGATCTCACTGAGAAAAACAAAGTTCTTGAGGTTACTGATGGTAACGTCATTCAAAGTTTGAAAAATGAAGATGTATTGGAATGGTTTAATACTTTAAACTTGTTCGGTTGGTGGGACTGGGAGAGTTATAGAGCTATGCGATTTTATTTTAATAATTCGAATCACTTGGAGACGGTGAAAAATTGGATCCTGCATAATTATCAAGAAGTGCGGATTCAGGAAAAAAATTAAGAATGGTATTCTATCTTTTACGATACAGTACAAAATGAATTAAAGTCATAGCACGAAATGTACTTAGAATCGGATTGTATCTGTGCTTTCATTATAATAAAAAGTTTCATATCCTTCACTGTGTTAAATAAGAATTTTAACGTGACTTTCATATCAATTGGCATTATTTTTATTCATAGATCGTACTTTAAATAAATCCACATTGTTGTAGTAGTATTATACAATGTTGGCCGATGACTTGTTATGACTTACATGAATAGTCAAAGATCATTGTCATTTATAAAGGGTACATGACTTATGACTTTGATTATACGTTTTTATATAAAATTTTAATTGTTTACTTATTAGATTTTAGAAAAAATTTCATTATATTTAACATATTCTGGTAATTCCAAATCATTAACAAAGAGACAATAATTTTCATTTTGCATCTAGATCATTGATCTCATTTTATTGATTTTAAATAGAAGGCTACGAATAAAGGTAAGTATGAAATATTATTTGTTGCTTTACTAAATTCTTGCAAAAAGTTGGAAGAAAAAAGGTAGGAGAAATATTACCTATTGCTATGCTAAACTTCTACAAAAAGAAGAGTAAAGGTAAGTATATGCATAATTAAGTTAAAAAAAAATCAGTTATAAATGCTCTTATTCTTTTGTAACAAAAGTTCAAAACAAATGCCAAAAAAAAATATTAGATGAATGGTGAGATAATATTGCCTTTGAATTTCAGGATAATGATAAATATTGGAAAAAAGAGCGTGAAAGTATGAATGAAATAAACTTAGAATATAAGCGAGGGTTTGAGACCAGAATGCATGTTCCTCCTACTTGATATCAATATAATAAGGAATTAAAAGAGGACTATTCGATATTTATTGAATATGTATAACTTCAGAAAAAAACCCTCATATCACATTATGCCAGTACTCTCTACTTATCTATACAATCACGTAAAAATAAAACATGGGAAGACCACAGGACCCCCCTTCTTTATTTAATATAATTTGTTGCCGGAACGACAATATATACATAAAAAAAATATTTTATAATAAAAAAATATGATATATGGGGCACGATTATAGATAGTCATCGGCATGACCAGGATTTATAACATCCCAGTCATCATTT